GATTGAGAGAGACTATAGAAAGTGGAGAGATCTCCCATGCTCATGGATTGGTAGAATGAACAAAGTAAAAATGTCTATACTCCCAAAAGTAAAATACATGTTTAATGCAATTCCCATCAAAAATCTGAATGACATTCATCAAAGACATTGAAAAATCCACCATTAAATTTATATGGGAACACAAGAGGCCATGAATAGCCCAGGAAATACCCAGTCAAGAGAACAATGCTGAAGGTATCACCATACCTGATTTCAAACTATATTACAAGGCAATAGCAATGAAAACAGCATGATACCTGCACAAAAACAGACATGAAGAATAGAGGACCGGGATTTGAAGCCACACAACAATAACTATCTTATCTTTGACAAGGCGCTTAAAATATATGGTGAAGAAAAGACAGTCTCTTCAACAAAAACTGCTGGGAAATCTGGTTAGGAGTCTGCAAAAAACTGAAACTAGGTTCATGTTTACCTCCCTATACCAATATTAACTCAAAATAGATCAAGGATCTTAATATCAGACCCCAAACTCTAAAGTTGCTACAGGAAAGAATAGTAAATACTTTGGAGCTAATAGGTATAGACAAGAACTTTCTCAATGGAACCCAAGCGGCACAGCAACTAACAGGTAGCATAGATAAATGGGACTTCGTAAAACTAAAAAGGTTCTGCTCAACAAAAGAAATGGTCTCTAAACTGAAGAGACCACCCACAGAGTGGGAGAAAATAGTTGCCAGCTACACATCAGACAAAGGACTGATAACCAGAATATATAGGGAACATAAAAAACAAAATTCTCCCAAAATTAATGAACCAATAAAGAAATGGGCAAGTGAACTAAACAGAATTTCTCAAAAGAAGAAATTCATATGGCCAAAAAGCACATGAAAAAATGTTCACCACCTCTAGCCATAAAGGAAATGCAAATTAAAACCACACTAAGATTCCACCACCACACTAAGATTAGCCATCATTAGCAACACCACTAACAATTGGTGTTGGCAAGGATGTGGGAAAAAAGGAACCCTCTTAGACTGGCTGGTGGGAATGTAAACTAGTACAACCACTCTGGATAAAAATTAGGAGGCTACTTAAAAATATAAACATTGATCTACCATATGATCCAGCAATAACGCTCTTGGGAATATACACAAAAGAATGTGACACAGGTTACGCCAGAGGCACCTGCACACCCATGTTTATTGCAGCACTATTCACAATAGCCAAGTTATGGAAACAGCCAAGGTGCCCCACTACTGACTAATGGATTAAGAAAATGTGGTATTTATACACAATGAAATTTTATGCAGCCTTGAAGAAGAATAAAATCTTATCATTTGCAGATAAATGTATGGAACTGGAGAACATCATTCTGAGTGAAGTTAGCCTGGCCCAAAAGACTAAAAATTATATGTTCTCCCTCATATGTGGACATTAGATCTAGGGCAAACATAACAAGGGAATTGGACTTTGATCACTTGATAAATCAAGAGCACACAAGGACGGTATGAGGATAGTTAAGACACTCAGACAACTAGATATCATTTGTTGCCCTCAACACAGAGAAACTAAAGAAGATACTTTAAACCAACTGAGGCCAATACGAGAAGGGGACCAGGAACTAGAGAAAAGGTTAATTAGAAAAGAATTAATTTAGAAGGTAACACACATATACAGGAAAGCAGTGCAAATTCACTCCCTGTATAGATATCCTTATCTCAACTATCAAAACCACTTGGTCCTTCCTATTATTGTTTATACTCTCTTTTCAAAAAATTAGAGATTAGGACAAAATTGTTTCTGCCTGGAAGTTAAGGGGTAGGGTAGGAGAAGGAGGAGGTGGGGGAGTTAAGGGAGGAGGTGAGGGGAAGTGGGGAAAAATGACCCAAACATTGTATGCACATACGAGTAAAAATAAAATAAAATAAAATTTAACCATTTGCAACAACACATTTTGTATTTTATCACAATGAGCAGAAATTTTACATTGTAGGATCAGGCACCTGTGAAATTGGGTCCATGATGTGTCAGAAGAGAGCAAGAAGAAGAGAATCCACAGTCACTGCCTCAGGACAACCAGGTGTCAAGCACTGTGTCCAACCACATCAGTCAGTGAACACCTACTTTGTGCCTGTCCCAAGTATCAGTTCTCAGAGAACAAGGTGAGCAGAAAGAAAAGATTTTGTGCTCATGGATATCAGAAGTTTTTGAAGAAAGAAGGAAATCATGTAAATATATCTCCAACAAAACGATACCATCACAGGGTAAAGAGAAAATGACATAGGATACTCCAAAATGTTGAAAAGAAAGAGTAAGAATCTGAATTTAAGCTCATGAAGGAAAGTTCACATTCTACAGAGTAGATGAGAAGAGTAGGGGAAGATGAGGAAATAGGTTACTGGAAGTGTTCAGGTTCAGCATGTTTTTGTGGGAAGAAGGCACTGACACTAGGATAAAAGAGAGTTCAAGGATGTTTTACGAAGTGTGTAAATGAGAATATATGGCCCCAGAGGGAAAGAATTCACAGGCAGGTGTTGGATTGAAACCCAGTGCTGAGTTAGCTATTTTCTATGTCTTGACTCAGCTGTGATAGAAATATCCACAACATTCTCAAAACTTACTCAATGAAATCACAGGATTTTTCCCATACAATGGAAATTGGGGTATCTCCATCTCACGTTTATTGGATGTGTCTATCTAAGAAATGTAAGCCCCAACATCACTCCCTGAAACAAAGCACACCACCTCTCATCTATTCTTCTAAAATTTACAGTTGCCATGAGATGACACAAAAAGAAAAAATGCTCATGAATTCCTGTCTACTCAGAAGGATGGAGGAAAGAAAAGTCTCAAGTCATAGAGGCCAGGGCTCAGCTTACCAAAATTTCCTGGTGTCCCTTCTTCATTTATCTTCTCAGGTGAGGACTAAACCTAGTGACTCTCCATAAGATCCTCTGAACCGTCACACACCCCATATTGAGCTCCTTCTCTTATCTCACCAAGATGTTCCCTAGGTCACAGCATGTTCTCTGCTGAGGTTCTCCTCTTCATGAATTCTGTGCAGAGTTATGTTGTCACAGTACCCTCCTCTGTGCTGGGCAGAGTGAGAGTAAGCCTGACTCTAATGAACTCTGATTCAGACCCTAAGGTGGGTTGTTATGAACACTGAGCAGATTTTCCTGAATCCAGCACATTGGACTCTCCTCAGCTTCCTACCTGGGACATCTGTCATTACCCCGTACTGTATAACATGCTCAGTGCTACAGTACTTTACTGTTCAAATAATATATTTCTCCTTGTTTCTCAGACCCTATCAATTCCTGTAAAGTGATATCCCCAATATTCATCGATAGCACATTATTTTTAAAGGAAAAGCAACTTCAGTAATAGAGGATCCACAAAGAAAATATGTCTTGAACAAACTCCATGATCCCAAAAAAGAAATATTTGAACATTAAGGGAGTTAACTCTTCAAACACAGTAGAAATGGCAGGTGCACAACTGGGTGCATTTAAGTGCAATTGCTAGAGAAGAAAGAATGTGTATTTTTGTTTGAAAATGAGCACACAACTCTTATAATGTAATGAAATATGAAGCATAAAATATTTTTTCATTCTGATACATTATGAGGAGAATGATATAGTGGAAAATACTGTTCTAAACCCATTTATATATATACTATCATTTTTTGGGTTGGAAAGACTTTTGAAAATAAGAGTTTCAGAAAATTTACATGGATGGAAGGCAACTGTGCACTGTCATTAGGCATCTTTGATACACATCCCAGCTAAAATACAACACATGACTCTGGTCTGGAACCATCTATCCTTTTCTCACTGGGGTCTGAAAGTTATGTTCTCCCAGGATGTTGGAAAGTATAAAACAGCCAATCACCAGGGTCTGTGCCCTCCAAGGATCAGTTTTCCAAGCATGTCAGATATTCCAGACCCATAATTGAGCTTCTACATTCAGGTTAGATTCTGGTTTGCACGTTGCATTCCCTCCTGACCTCTCACTACTATTGTGAATAAGAGAGACTTGGGGAACTCAGACCCAAGTGAGGGTCCTCAACATGTAGAGCTATATAGAATCTTCCAGTGAGATGGGATTTCTTCTTTCTCTTCTTTCTATTTACCATATAGATGACTGAAAACTGGTCTTGGTTCTGAGAATGAAAGTATACCTTACAATTAAGTTGTTTCTGTCAACTAAATCATCTCCTTAATTCTGATTTCCCCTGACATTCACATTCTTGGGATCTGTGCTCACTCAACCATGTTTAGTATACTAGCCTGTGGAATAAGCTGTAAACAGCAACAGTAATGGAAGACTGAAAATATATATTTGTGTTAAATTTTATACCAATAATGTGACAAGATTTTGTAGTAGTTTGATTAAGAGAGCTAACACAATATTATTCGTGTTCAGTTTTTCACCTTTCATAGTTCATAATCCCTTCTGAAAGTGAAAAATTCAGTAACAGATTAAACTGTACCAAAACAACAATGATTAGAAATCACACAATGGAGGCATGAATGTAGACAGTGAACAAGTGAGCCACAGAAACCCACTGGGCCCTGGCACATGTATTTCCTTTGACCAGAGGAGTGTGCTCTGGACTGCCTTGTGGTTGATGCCCAGTCAGCAAGCAGGTAAAGACCATTCACTGAATGGCATCTGGGTCTGGGGACTCTCCCCATGCTCACTAATGGAGACACAACTGTTGTACCCTCTGCACTGGAAGATCCCTTGAGACATGATCTGTACCATCTCTCAGCTTTGGATTTCACAGGACATCCCTCAGGGGAAGCAAATCTTCACTCTCTGCACTCAGAAGAGTAAACAGAACTCAAACAGCAAGTCTAAGGTAGGGGCTTGCCAGTCAAAGTGGAAACATATTTGCATGAATTGCCTCTCCTCTAGCTGAAAGTGAGATAGAAATGGAAGCCTTGCACAGGCCCTGACATTACTGTAGGGCTTAGGGGACTTCATCCACCATGACCAAGATTGCTCTCCTTGTGTTCTTCTCCCAGTACACAGGTAAGCACCAGCATCAATGCCTCAGGAAAAATCCCTTCCACAAATCAGAACTCTCTGGCTCAGATTTCCTAGAAGCAAGCAGCTTCTGGCTCTGCCCTTTCCCGTGGTGTCTCTGTGTTTTCAGGTTCCCTCTCTCAGCCTGTGCTGACTCAGCCACCCTCCCTCTCTGCATCTTCTGGGGCAACTGTAAGACTTACCTGCACCCTGAGTAGTGGTTTTAGTATTGCTAGTTACCACATAAACTGGTACCAGCAAAACCCTGGAAGCTCTCCCAGGTTGCTCCTGTGCTACGTCTCAGATTCAAATAAGTACCAAGGACCTGGTGTCCCTGACCGTTTCTCTGGATCCAAGGATGTCTCAGCTAATGCAGGTGTTCTTCATATCTCTGGACTGGCATCTGAGGATGATGCTGATTATTACTGCAGTGTATGGGATGGCAGCTCTAACACTTACACAGTGCTTCATTGTATGGGGAAGTGAGACCCAAACCTCCTCTTTGTGGATCAGTTAGTCACCTCTATTGCTGACTCTGGCCAGTTCTAATACAGGGAGTAATTTCTGTTGATTTCACCTGGCTTTCCTAAGAAAGAAGTCCTGAAAATGTCCTATGCTTTTATTTTCAATTTGTTCTTGGGGTTCATTTGTAACTGCAATTTCTGCCATACAAAAGACCTTCCTCAAATTCTGATTGACAAAGTGCAGGAGTTGAAAGTCTGATGTGTAGTTCCTGTGAGAGAAGAGTAAAGACCTACCTTTGGATAATGAAAACACTGCCCAGAGGAAATGATTTCAGTTTCTTGCTGTTTAGTATTGTGTCAGCCCAGGTTTGTAATGTATATCGTCTATTAAGGAGAGATGTGTTCCCTTCATTCCTAGTTTACATGGAGCTTTTAAAATCAAATATGTTGAATTTTATCTAAGGCTTTTCTGCATTAATGGAAGTGCTCACATGATATTATTCCTTAATGTAATATATATATATATATATATATATATATATATATATATATCCTATTATATTTATTTATTTGCATACATTGAAACTTATTGCATCACCAGAATGAAACCATATGGACTATGGCGTATGACCTTTTAATGTGTCATTAAAATTGGATTGTAAGCATCTTACTGAGATTTTTGCATCTATGTTCATCAAATACATTGGTCTATAATTTTCTATTTTCATTGTGCCCTGTATTTGTAGCAAGGTGATCATAGCATTATAGGATAAGTTTAGTGATAATATTCATTCTCTTTCTATTTCCTGTAATGTTTTAAATAACATTTGCATTACTTCTTTAAAAGTCTGTTAGTATTTGACTGTGAATATGTCTATTCCTAGACTCTTCATTTTGATAGACTCTTTATTACTGCTTCTGTCTTCTTGCTTGTTACATGTCTGCTTAAGTGGTTAATACACTCTTGGTTCAATTTTGGAGTTCAACTTCCCCTAGAAATTTGTCCATTTATTCTATATTTTCTATTTTATTGGAAGAAATTTTCAATGTATTTCCAAATGATCCACTGGATTTCTTTGTTATTAATTGTAATTGGTCTTTTTTTCCTCTCTGAGATTATTCATTTGGGTGTTCACCCTCCATCTTTTGGTTAGCTTAGCTAAGGGTTTATCAGTACTGTTTTATTTGTCCAAAGACGCAACTTTGTGTTTCATTCATTTGTTGTTTTCTATTTGTTGTCTCCATTTAATTAATTTCTACTCAAATATTTATTAATTCTCTCCACCTGCTATTTTTGGGTTTGGCTTGTTCTGATTTATGTGAGTTGCATCAATGTGATATTTATTTGATATTTCTCTGTTTTTTTAAATGTAGGCTTCTTTAGCTATAAACTTTCCATTTAGCACTGCCTTTGTTGCATCCCAAAGTTTCTGGTAAGTCAAGCTTTCATTTTATTAGATTCTAAAACCTGTTTGATTTGTCCTCATTCAACAATGTGTTGTTCATTCTGTATTTGGCTAACATTTTCTGCAGTTCAGTTTGCTGTTGATTTCTAATTTTATTCTGATGGGCTGATAGAAAGCAGGGGGTAATTTTGATTTTCTTATATTTGCTAAGACTTGCTTTTTCTACTGAACTATGATCTATTTTGGAGAATGTTCCATGAGGTTATGAAATGAATGCGTATTATGTTGCATTATTTATATTTATTTATATTAAAACTATAGTGTTGCTCTATAGTGTTGATTACCTCTGAAATTTATTTATTGCGGGTTTTGTCTGGATAAACTGTGTAATGGTGAGAGTGGAGGTATTGAAGCTTCCCACTATTATTGTGTTCAGGTCTATCAGTGTTTATAAGGACCGAAGTACTTTTAATGAAATTGGGAATGCCTACATTTGATATGCATGATAACTATTGCTGTCTCCTATTGATTGATTGTTCCATTTAACAAAATGATGTGAATTTCTTTGTCTCTATGGACTAATTTTAGTTAAAACTCTCTTTCATCAGATGTGAGTACAGATAAGAAAGAGAAAAGAGTGTTCACTCTCACCATATTAATTTAATATAGTACAGGAATTTCCAACAATAGCAATAAGACAAAGAAATAAATAAAAGAGATACAAATAGTGATTCAAAAAGTCAAGTTGTCTCTATTTGCAGATGTTATGATCCTATACTTAAAAAACTCTTGAGATTCAAAAAAAATCATATTTGATTAATATCATTTGCAAATTAGCAGGACATAAAATTCACAAACATTAGTAATGTATCTATTTATAAACAATGATTAGGCAGAAGAAGAAATGAGGGAAAGAGTTATCTTGACATCTTCCTGAAATGCTCAAGGATAGGCAAAGTAAATATTCTGAAAATAACTAACTATGAAAAGTAGTTGACATATTCAATGCAGTGCTCATACAAGTCTGAATGGCATTCTTCACATTATGGAAATACCACTCTGAAATTAATATGGAAGCACAATAGAACCAAAATAGCCAAAGCAATCCTAAGCAAAAAGAGCAATGCTGCAGGTTTCTCCAAACAAGGCATCAGATTATAATATACAGCTATTGAAACAAATCTTGGTGATAGGGAAAAAAAACAGACATGCGGACCATTGAAGCAGTTTCAGAAATAAATCTTACAGACATTTGATTTTTAACAAAGAGTCCGAACCATATGTTGAAGAGAAGACACATTGCTTAGAACTCTGGTTATCAGCACACAAGAGTGAAACTAGACACCTAGATGCCTATCTCTCAACTTGTACAAAAATGATCAGTATGGATCAAAGACCTTAATGTAAAACATGAAACTTTGACACTACTATAAAAGACCATAGGGAATACTACATATACATAGGTAAGTATTTTGTGAATAAGACTCTAATTGCCCAGGAGATATAAGTTAAGAAGGGAAATTGACAATTGAGATAGCCTCAAATTAAAATGCTTCTACACTTTGTCAGTAACAATTACCAGAAAGAAGAGACAACCCACACAATGGAAGAAAATCCTTTCCAGCTATTCACTGGATAAGACAAATATCAGGAATACAAAAAGAGCTCAAAAAATTAAACATCAAAAGATTTAATCTGATTAATAAATGGAGTAATGAATTAAACAGACACCTCTCAGAAGAAGAAATATGAATGGCTAATAAACACAGAAGGCATGTTCGGCATCCTTGACCATACGGGAAACGCAAATGTAAACTACAGTATGATTCCATGACACCATAGTCAGATTGGCACTCATTGATAATATGTGGGTGGGATGGAAGAATCCCTCATACAATGTTGGAGAGAATGTATACTAGTATAACAGTGTAGAAATCAGTGTGGAGGTATAACAAAAAGCTAAAATTACAGCTATGATATGACTCTGCTATTCTACCTTTGGGGATATATTTGAAGGAGTATAAATCATCAAACAAAAGGGTGTGTCTTCACACCTTTGTTTATAGTAACATTATTCACAATCACAAAGCAATGGAATCAGCCTAGATGCCCAACAAATGATGAATGGATAAAGTGTGGCTAATATACACAATGGTGTACTTGGAATGTGCCTTCTCATACTAAGTCCCATCATTATTGGTATATGGTTAGTGAGTTGGCGAGTAATCCTAGTGCTAAAAGGAATGTAGAGTTAAAGTGGAATGACATTGCTAAACCTGATGTTATTAGGAAGGCGGATAGTGCTCCAGTTAGTGGTCAGGGACTTGGGTTAACTATGTGATAAGCATGTACTTGGTGGGTCATTATGTGTTGTCATGGAGATACAGGCTTACTAGGAGTGTAAATACATAGGCCTGAATTAGGGCTACTGCAAATTCAAGAATGGTGAGAAGGATTAAGACAATGAATGTTACAAATCTGTGGTTGGATAATAGTTAGTAGTGCTAGTGTAGCCCCACTAAGTAGGTGAATTAGTAGGTGACCTGCTGTGATGTTAGCTCTTAATCGAATGACTAATGCCATTGGTTGAATAAATAGGGTAATGGTTTTGATAATAATTAGTATTGGGATTAAGAGGATAGGAGTTCCCTGTGGTAAGAAATGGGCTAGGGATGATTTCGTTTTGTGGCGGAAGCCTAGGATTACAGCTCCTGCTCAGAGCGTTATTGCTGTTCCTAGATTTATTCATAGTTGGGTTGTTGGGGTGAAGGTGTATAGAAAAAGTCCAAGCAGGTTAGTTGACCCAATGAAAATAATAAATGAAATTAGCATTAAAGTTCAGGTATGTCCTTTAGAGTTATGCATTGTTATTATTTGTTTAGTGATTAGTTGAATTACTCATTGTTGGAAGGAAGCTAATCAGTTATTGATTAGTCAGTTTGGGGCTGGACGTATAATACTTGGGAAGAGAATTACTAAGGTGACAATAGGAAGTCCTATTTTACTATGGGTAATAAAAGAGGTAAATAGATTTTCATTCATTTTTTCTCTGAAGGGTTGTCTTGTTTTATAGACTCAATATTTTTAGGTAGAGTGTTAGGTGGAACGTTGAATATTTTTACTTTTAATTGGAAAATAATAAATAGGGTGAAGATTATATAGATAATAGTTGTAAATCACGTAGATGTATCAAGTTGTGGCATCTCATTATGGAAGGCTACCTCCCTGACGTTAACTTAAAAAGTTAATGCTGCTGTAGCTTCATAATGTATTTATAGTATACACAGTGATCAGTTTTCAAAATATTTGCATGGGACCATTTCTAATACAATTGGCCTAAAGCTGTGGTTTGAGCACAAATATCGGAACATTGGCCGTAGTAAAGTCCTGGTCGTGTGGACGTGAAGGTTTCTTGGTTAAGGCGCCCTGGGATAGTATCTGTTTTTAGGACTAATGATGGGACGGCTCATGAGTATAGTACACCTTTAGATGAAATTAATATTTGGATGGGTACTTCTATGGGCAGTATGACTCACTTATCAACTTCAAGAAGTTGGAGTTCCTGGGGCTTTCCTTCTGATGTAGAGATTATGTAAGAGTCAAATGTTAGGTTTTC